CTTTCCCTATTGTATCATCCTTATTTGTCTTAATTGACTAAAAAGGTCAAGGAGAGATTTCAAATCATAAAATAAATTATATTTTCGAGATGTACTAATGATTTCCAATCGATTGATATGTATTTTGTTGATTGAGGATGTAGTTCTCTATATTCAAGATTTCCTCCTTGTCCTTCAAAGTCAACTCTGAAATTTCACCCTTTACCTTACTGAAAGATGAAATATTCACCAAAATGTCTGAAACTTGAACCATATGCAGTATTTGAGATGTTGAACATGATGGTAATGTTTAATAGAGTGGTCATTTTCCAGATTTTCATTCGTTTTACTCAGTTGACTAGTTGGTATGATAGAGTGAGTTGAAATCATGAACATGAAAGTGAAAATAAACTTGATATTCTATCTCTACACATCGAATGGAGCATTTTCATATATATTTTGTTGATTGAAGTGATGTATTTGATAGAGTTGGTCTGACTTGTCTTTCCTTAAAGTCAACCTTATAAAGTCAACCATTATCTTCCTACGGTACCATTTCTTATTCTTATGATATGAAATTGAATTCTACATCATTATAGATCATCTACATCATGTTGGTAAAATTTCAAAAGTGGTTCTTTTTCAAGATTTTATCCTTTTCAGACCATTTGTGATTGAGGGAAGAAATCTATATATATGAAAGTCAAAATAAATTTGATATTCGATGTTGGGTTTGGGTTTGGGTTTGGGTTTGGGTTTGGGTTTGGGTTTGGGTTTGGGTTTGGGTTTGGGTTTGGGTTTGGGTTTGGGTTTGGGTTTGGGTTTGGGTTTGGGTTTGGGTTTGGGTTTGGGTTTGGGTTTGGGTTTGGGTTTGGGTTTGGGTTTGGGTTTGGGTTTGGGTTTGGGTTTGGGTTTGGGTTTGGGTTTGGGTTTGGGTTTGGGTTTGGGTTTGGGTTTGGGTTTGGGTTTGGGTTTGGGTTTGGGTTTGGGTTTGGGTTTGGGTTTGGGTTTGGGTTTGGGTTTGGGTTTGGGTTTGGGTTTGGGTTTGGGTTTGGGTTTGGGTTTGGGTTTGGGTTTGGGTTTGGGTTTGGGTTTGGGTTTGGGTTTGGGTTTGGGTTTGGGTTTGGGTTTGGGTTTGGGTTTGGGTTTGGGTTTGGGTTTGGGTTTGGGTTT